CATTTTAGATTTTGCTTTAGCATATGATTTTGTTATTACTAATATTTTATTCAACAAAAATAGATGAGCATCTTATTACTTATAATAATAAATTTAATAAAACAGAAATTGATTTCTTTCTTATGAGAAGAAGAGATCGTCGAGATTGTAAATATTGTAAGGTTATTCCAAGTAAGAATTTAAGTACCCAACATCAATTATTAATTATAGATTTTAAGATGAGTTGTAAAATAAAAAATACTTGAACTCATTATTGTAGGATTAAATTGATGAAACTAAAAGGCTCAAATAAAATTATTTTTATGAGTAAAATTCAAGATTTCAAAATTTGGGAAGTTCTTGAGTTCATGAAGGGAAGTTCTTGAAAACGCAAATGCTATGTGGGATAAAATAACAAACACTATTAAATGAAAGAATATTACATCAGTACTACGCACGTAGAGTAACGTGCGTAGTGAATGAAATCACGCCACGACACCCCGCGCCAGTAACACGGGGAATATCCCCCCGTGTTATTCATGTGTTATTCATGTGTTATTGTGTCCTGGGAATATTCCTGGTGTTATAATAACACAATAACACATGAATAACACACAATAACACATGAGTAACACGAGAGAGAATATTCTCCCGTGTTATTGCACCGTTTTTTTCTCTGTCGGGAATATTCTCCGTGTTATTCATGAGTTATTGTGTATTATTCATGTGTTATTGTGTCATGAGAATATTTTTGGTGTTATAATAACACAATAACACATGAATAACACGCAACAACACATAAATAATACGCAATAACACATGAATAACACAGGGGGGAATATTCCCCGTGTTACTGCGCCGTTTTTTTTCCTTGTCGCACGGGGTGTCGTGGCGTGATTTAATTGGCTACGCACGTTACTTCTACGTGCGTAGCACTGATGTAATATTTTTTCCTATTAAATAAGTAGAAAGATGTACTTGGAGAATTAAAAGAAAAAATTTTATAAATAAAAATAGTTGGTGGTGGAATAATAATGTGCATGAAAAGATTAAATATATGAAGTTATGTTATAAAAATTGGTTTAAACGTAAAAGCTTAAATAATTGAAAAAAATATCAAATGGTCCTCAGGAAGTCTAAAAGATCAATC